AGAGCTAAAATACAATCTTGAATCTATCCCCCCTGAATTGTGAGACCATCTCAAGTACAGATTTGCTGCACTGAACACTAATGACAGAAGACCTGGTGAGCTGTGGAAGACATCAGCAATTATCATTCATGAAGAAAGCAAAAGGTCATTAAAAATACAAGAAATAAAGGAAAGGTCAAAGTGGATGTCAGAAGACACATTGAAATGTGTTCTTAATCGTAAAGTATCTAAAATAAATGGAAGAAATGATAAAGTCAAAGAGGTGAATAAAAATTTTCAAAATTGATGTACAGATTTTTCTGGGCAAAATATTGAATGATGCAGGAAGCACAAAGGAAGATAGAAAGTACCCAAAGGACCTGTGGACATTCAACCATTTTATGAGGTAGTATATGAGCAAGAACCAATGAAGGAAGTTCAAACTGCACTGAAAGCATTAGCCAAAAATAAGGCTCCAGGAAGTGATAAGATATTCACTGAAATGTTTCAACAAGCTGATGAAGCACTGATAGCATTTACTCATCTATGCCTAGAAATTTGGAAGACAGCTACTTAACCAACTGACTGGGAGTGATCCACACTTAAAAATTTTGCTGAAGATCATCCAACAACAGTTGTAGCAATACACTGACAGGAACTGCCAGAAGTTCAGGCAGGATTCAGAAGAGGAAATAGAACATGGGATGTCACTGCTGATGTCAGATGGATCTTGGCTCTAAGCGGAGAATAACAGAAAGATGTTTATTGTGTTTGTTTTATTGACTCTGCCAAGGCATTTGACTATATGAATCATAAACTATGGGAAGAATAGGAATCCCAGAACACTTCACTGTGCTCTTGTGGAATTTACGTAAGTATCAAAAGGGAGTGTGGGAACAGAGCAAGGGAATACTGTGTAGTTTAAAATTGGGAAAGGTGTGCAAGAGCATTATGTCCTTTCACCATACTTATTCAATCTGCATCTGAGTAAATCATCAGAGAAGCTGCATTATATGAAGCATCAAGGATTGCAGCCTTCAGTATGGATTAAAAGTCGATGTAAAGAAGACCAAAATCCTCACAACTGGACCCATAGATAACATTATGATAAACGGAGAAAGGTTTGAAGTTGTCCAGGGATCTTTGTCTTGCTTGGATCCACAACCTATGCTCATGGAAGCAGCAGTTAACGAGAGCAAAAGATGTGTTGTATTGGGCATACCTGCTGCACAAGACCTCTTTAAAATACTGAAAAGTAAGTATGTTGCTTTGAAGAAAAAGTGCCCTTGATCCAAGTCATGGTTATTTTCAATGACCCCAAATACATGTGAACGTTGGGAATTGAATCAGGAAGACTTAAGAATGATGCATTTGGATAATAGTGCTGACAAAGAATATTGGAAGGAGCATGGAGTGCTAAAAGGACAAACCAATCTGTCTTGGAGGAAGTACAGCCAGAGTGCTCCTTAAGGGCAAGGACGGCGAGACTTCATCTTGTAACTTTGCACATGTTGGCAGGAGACAACAGTCCCTGAAGAAGGACATCATGATTGGTAAAGCAGAGTTGCAGCAGAAAAGACATGGATTGATGCACTGCCTACAATAGGACTAAGCAGAGGAACTGTCCTGAGGGTGGCACAGGACCAGACAATGGTTTGTTCGGTTGTGCATAGGGCCCCTAAGGATTGGAACAGATTTGGTGGCACCTAACAACAAATCCTCCCTTCCCCTCCCCCCACACCCCCAAATTCTGCACTCTTCAAGTTACATCACATCAAAATAGCTGTTTTGGCATTCTCAGAGACTCACACTTTGTTTATTTTCATTGAGTTTAGAAAACACACAGAAAAAGTCTAAAAAGGCATGATAAAAAAATAAATGAAATTAAAAGGCAAGATGAAGACTGCAGGGTAGATGCAATGATGTTTGCTAACAAAATTCTCATAGGATAGCACGTCACCCTTGAAGAATGAGGAAGTGCATTGTCAGGAAGGGAAAAAATCCTCAGTACAACGCTCCTGGACTTTTGGTTACTAATGCAGCTTTCAATTTTTTAATCTTTTCATAATAAGCCCCATCTGTGATCATTCTTCATCCTTTGAGAAAATCCCCAAACACAGTTGTTATAACCTTCTGAGCTGACCTTTCTGCTTTGAATCCATCTTCTGACCTTTCTTAAAAGGTCTTGCGATTGTTGTTAAAATGTTTGCTTCACCTAACATCTGTTGTTTTAATGTGGGGCAGCGTTCTCGAAAACTTGTTGCTAAGTCTCCGTCATTTGGGATGACATCTATTAGACTGGTTGATGAAACCATTGTGATCCATAGGGTTTTACTGGCAAACTTTTGGAAGTTAATCATTAGGCCTTATTTACTAGTCCATTGTAATCTGGAAGCTTCACTGAAATCTGCTTAGTCATAGTGACCCCCGACCTCTCCTTATAGTTAGGTGGTGGCTGCATATGAGGTACACACTATCTAGGAACTGAACCTGCATGGAAGGTTCTACTACTGAACCACTAGTGTATTTTAATGGAAAAATACTATGGACTGCATTGTATTCTTCCTTTAAAATTCCCTTTGGGAATAGAGTTCTTTGCCAAAGTTTGAAGTCCAACACTTAATTCCTTGGAGAATCGGGTTATTCTTTATGTTAATAAGACACTATCCTACCAGGGGAGGCTTGTCCTAATTGCTAAATTTTTTAATTTAGATAAAATTGACATATCATAAAATTCAATAGTTCAATCACATTAGCAAGGGTTGTACATTCATGACCACAATCATGATCACAAGGAACATTTTCTTCCTTCTTGTATACATTGCTGTTGACATTGGCCACGCCCTCTTCCATGCCCCCAGGTAATTATCAACTCAGTTCTTGTATTCACAGATCCACCCATCCTGACTTCTCTATAAAGAAAAACATACACATATATGTTGGTGCCATGTCACCATTCATTGGGCATCCTCAAAGCAATAGGTCTGAGCCAAGTCAAAGTCCAAAGACCACCAATTCCCTAAGCTTGGGTTAGCAATCATCTGCTTCCTCACCCACTAGGGCCTTTCATTTTTAAGTTCACGGGAGTATATCAGTTCCTTGGATCTGCTATAAGTTAGTTTAAGGTCAAGTCAGTTTGCTTAGGGGGGTTTCCATTTTGGGTCCTTCTGGTATGTTCTATGGAGGATGTTGTTCACCTCCAAAGAAGAGAGTCTAATGTGTCAGGTGTCTAGCAAGCCTGGGTCGACAGGGGCTGGATAGAAACTAGTCAAAAGTGCCCTGTTAGGAGAAGAATACCAGGAATAATTTCTCCATGGGATCCATATACGTAATCTAAACCTAATCATTTGTGATGGGGCAACAGAGTGGCATAGACATGAAAATAAGCAAGCACCCACAGGGGAAGATAAATGTCACATGAAGATTGCCAAAGAATTGAAGCTAAGGATACAGAATCAGAGAGTGTCAAAGATCTTCCCAACAAACAGCTGGTGCCCTGAATTAGGACTTCTAGTTTCCTGAACTGTGAGAAAATAAATTTCTGTTCTTTAAAGACATCCACTAAGGGTATTTGTGTCACAAGAGACTTTAGGAAAGTAACACAGTGGGACACCAATACCCATGAACACTGAGGACAGCTGTTGGGTCAGCATGACCAAATAAAGTGGGTGTGGTCCTGTTGTGTGCTATTTTCTAAGGGAACCAAGCTGGGCACACCAATCCCTGGGCGGATGACTGTGCAGAAACCAAGAAAGCTACCAGCTGCTGCACTCCACAAAACTCCAGAGGCACATGCAACATGCAAGACAAACGTAGAGCAGATTCTGCTGCTGCCTTAGAGCTGGCCGAGGACTCACTTCTTTGGGGGGACCACACATATTTAGACGGAAACCAGAAAGCTACTTGGGTGACATAGATCTAGTCACAATGGGTGAGTAAGTTGGCCCCACTGAAGAGCAGTACATTCCTTAGGTCAACCTGAAAGGCATCTTTGGGTCTTCCCTGCCCTTCTCTACTACCCACACAATGCCCCTCCTGCCCCACCACCTGCAACCAAGCCAGGAGCCTTTTAAGAAAATCTTTCCAAATTCCACTAACTACTCTACATGATTGTTTTTATATTATACACTCAATTACGGGTTTCATCGCTCTCCTCACTCCTTCAGTTCGCAGTCCAGGTCTTGGTGAGGCACAGAACTTAAAATGGACAAAGGAGCAAGAAGACATGTGTATGCTGGGTACCTGGTAGGATGAGACCTAGACACAATACCCTGTTCTGTAAGACACTATTACCAGCAAATACAAAGACAAAAGGTATCTTTATTCCCCTCCCCGCCAAAAAAACAGTAAGAAACTCCACAAAGGAAGCATGACTAATAAATAAGTGAAAATAATTGCACAATTAGCTGTTCCCAATACATGCCTAATGAGCTTATGTATGCACACATGTATACAAAGATATAATCACACACCTCATCCCATTACTTCTGTGCTCTCTGCCCCATTTTCACTGTAATGTATTCTTCCCTATGAATATACTACTTTTCTTGGTATTACCAATATATACTACATAGGGAGGACTGAAATATCTGTTGAATCTAAAGGAGGTAGTATCCTGTCCTTATAGCTTATAATTAATCCAAGGTGCATACACACACAAAACACAACCACCAGCACTCATACCCACTAAGCTTCAATTCATTAACACCACTTATCCAAACTAAAGCTTCTTACCTGTCTCAGTTTTTCTTTATGCTTTTCAGCTTGAGCATTTAATTCTTCTTGCATTTTTAAACGAGCGGCTGCTAAAGCTTCTTGTCGTTTAACAATAATATCAGGTTCTAAAACATCACGAAAAAATTTGAGATAAAATACTTCATGTAATAAAAAAAACCAACTGAATGTATGTTTTAGAAATACAATAACTATGCAAAAGATAAAAGATGTCTACATGAATAATTCTATATAAGGAAGAGACTATCCTATAGCTATTGCTCTTAGCCCTTTCTAAACAGCAGCAGCATCAAAAACATCTTGAACCCCACTGTCATTTGTAAAGTTATATTTTGTAGTTGGTTGTTGGGTGGTTCGTCAGTAAAATTAGAAACTGGAGAGACCATGGGGTTTCGTGGGTGAGGAAAGAGGCATATTTGAGTGAATTGATTTTCATTAATGATTATTTTTGTGTTATGATGTTTGCTTTTTACCTAATCTCTGTAAGCATCAAACTCAAACTCACTGCCATTGATTTGTTTCTGACTCATAGAGACCCTATTAGACAAGGCAGAAGTGACCTTGAGGGTTTCAAGACTGTAAGTCTCTATATGAGTAAAATGCCAAATCATTCTCCTAAGGAGCAGCCAGTGGTTTCGAACTGCTGACCTGTGGTTTGCAGCCCAACTTGTAGCCACTATACCACCAAGACTCCTACAGTAACTATAGGGGTTTGCTCTATTGCACTGTTATTCTCATGACATTCAACATTTCTTTTGGATCTGTCCTCATAAAATACAACAGCTATCTAGTGGAATGGTTACTCTTTCAGAGAGAATACATTTTTGAAACAGTCAAATGTAATTTGAAACTCAAGTCTAATGAGTAAATTAGTGAAAATCGAAATGAGGATAGAGAGAACTAAGGCTGAGTTTCTCGTTATCCATTCTGGTTCTAGAGGTAACTAGAAAGTTACAGACCCACGAACAGAGCCGCTGACATTTTCATTCTAATCCCTTCTTTAAATGAAAAAGGAGTCCTGGTGGCATTGTTGGATAAATGTTGGACTGCTGATCACAAGGTTGGTGGTTCAAACCCACCAGCCACTCTATGGGAGAAAGATAAGGTTACTTGCTCCTATAAAAGACTGACAGCCTCAGAAACCCCCCATGGAGTCACTAAGAGTAGGACTTGACAGTAAAGGAGGATTTTTTTGTTGGTTTTTGCTGTTGTTGTTTATTAATGAAAAACAAAACAACAGGAAAACTCAGTAAGATATGGTAAGTTCCCATCTCATTAAAATCTACAAAATTAAAAATTATCTATTGTGCATTCAACAAAATCAGAAAGCATAACATTTCAGAAGCATAAAATCATTCTCCACTCCCATTCAAATTAGAATCATGTAATTTTCTCATTCTTAATAGATTAACTTAAATATTTCAAGAATGAGGTTTCTGGGACGCCACCACCTTCCTTTCTGCTCCCAAGGACTTACCCACAACAGTTGTTTCCTGGTCCAGCTGCCTCTGCCTCAAGGCCCTAAATCGGGCAGAAAGCTTCTGAATGACCACGAGGAGGAGGATACAGCTGAAGATGATGTACCAGCCATAGGTGGCCAGCAGGGAACCCACTGAAACGAAAGGCCGTTTTCATGAGACCCGAAAATGATACTACTAATTGACTTCATCATCAAACAAGCCAAGCTCCTCCCCTCCATACCTTCGCATTCTCACAGTGGCCTATGTGGGCAGTTAAAATGTGAAGACGCGCAACACTTCAAAAGTCACTGATAAGGGACTCGTTAAAGTCGGGGGGAACCAGGGAAGTAGGTGGGGCACAGCAGCTAAGTTCTGTCGGCTCTTCTTCAGTCGACAGTTTATCTGAGCCGGTAAGGCAAAAGGTTTTCGACCTAGCGAACCGCGTACAGAAAACGGGGGAATGGGACATGCTGCAGTAGGCGGCTCCACAGACTGCTAGGCGTAGGAAGCAAACGTCAAGGGTCGTGTGACCCAAAGACCTGCAACCCGGAAAGGATTGTGTTGTACAAAGCAGAGGGCCCGCCCGAGGCGGTGCGGCGCCGCCTGGCCAGCTGCCCAGGCCCTGCGGCAGGCGCCCTCGCTCGGCCCAGACGCCGCCAGCGCGGCCGGGCGGGAGGCGCCCAGCGAACATGGCGGTGTGCCGG